GTGCACTAATTGTCTTTGTGTTCTATAGTTCACCTTTTGATGTAAAGAGCCAAATTCCATCTCATTTTAATGGTAAAACCTGCCACAAAGTGAACATGGGATGTATGTTACATATATGTTTACCCACTATGTGCTTGGCTCCCCTCATAAATATGTATAGCTTTTCCCCAAAACCTGCCAAATATGTATGATTCTATTTTATAAGACAGACTCTGTGGAGCCTAAAACCAAACTTCCTCTTCCCTACTCGAAGTTACAGCACCTTCAGTCCACACTGGAGACTCTCTCTTCCTGGTCTACAAACTGATACTGCCAATAAAGCTCTCCTTTCTACTAACTCGCGCCATCATGGTGGTCATTTGGATGACACATTAAAATAAGGGTGAAGACAAAATGCTATCATCATTATTATTCAACATACGACACTGCATAAATTATAAAATGTCTACACAACAAAAGGTGTCATAAAGTTAAACTAGAAACTCTATTAATAATATATATGGAATAAATGGTTTCTATTGAAAATACATATACATACAAAACTACATGCATATAAAAAGAGTTTCTAAAAATAACAAGAAATAGGCCAAGCGCCATGGCTCATACCTGTAATCCCAGCACTGTGGGAGGCCGAGGCAGGCAGATCACCAGGTCAGGAGCTCGAGACCAGCCTGGGCAACATAGTAAAACCTCGTCTCTACTAAAAATACAAAAATTAGCCAGGCGTGGTGGCACACACCTATATCCCAGCTACTTGGGAGGCTAAGGCAGGAGAATTGCTTGAACGCAGGAAGCAATGGTTGTGGTGAGCCGAGATCATGCCACTGCACTCCAGCTGGGGCAACAGAGCGAGACTCTGTCTTAAAAACAAAAGAAACAAACAAACAAACAAAAAACAAGAAATAGACAATCCAATAACATCCTTTTTGCAGGGCCATTTGACAATAGCTATCAAAATTTTAAATGTTTATTACCTTTGGCTCTGCTTCCATTTTTATGAATGAGCTTTAAAAAATTCACACAAATGCTCAGAGAATATATATATACATATATATTTCGTGTGTGTATGTGTATATATACACATATATACATATATATGTATATATATGTATGTATATATGTGTGTGTATATATATGTATGTGTATATATACATACACACAGACTCTGTGGGGCCTAAAACCCAAACTTCCTCTTCCCTACTCAAAGTTAAAGCACCTTCAGTCCACACTGGAGGATCTCTGTGTGTGCATACATATATACACACACAAGGATGTTTGTTGCAGCATTGTTTACAAGAGAGAAAAATTAGAAATCTAAGTGTACTAAATGTTGAGTGGTTAAATAAATAATAGTATTCATACTACAAAATACTCTCAGCCCTTAAAAACAGTGAAATAGTCTAGGGCACAGTCGCTCAACCTGTAATCCCAGGGAGGCCAAGGCGGGTGGATCACTTGAGGTCAGGAGTTCAAGACCAGCCTGGCTAATATGGTGAAATCCTGTCTCTACTAAAAATACAAAAATTAGCCAGGCATGGTGGCACATGCCTGTGATCCCAACTACTTGGAAGGCTGAGACAGGAGAATCTCTTGAACCCAAGAGGTGGAGGTTGCAGTGAGCCAAGATCACGCCACTGCACTCCAGCAGACAGAGCGAGACTCCGTCTCAAAAAATAAAATAAAATAAATAAAAATAATGAAATATATCTGTATGAACTGATATACCAGGATATATGAGAAAGCAAAAAACAACAAATATCATATAATTATTGGACTTATGTGAATATATCATTTTTATAAAATATAGTAACAATGATATAAGGACACAATGATATTATAAGGATACAAACCAAATGGATAATTTCTAAGAAGGGAAGTAGAAATTGGCAGTCTAGGGTAGAAATCAGAAACAATCAGGAAAGAAACTGGGATTTTCAGGCTTTACTGAATATACTTTTAATTAATCCAAATTTTTAATATTAAGAATGTATTCAGTGTCACCCTGCTAGCTCAACTGGTAGAATAGAGACCAAAGAATGTGTGCATACAGCAGCATTATTCATAAGAGCCAAAAGGTGGAGGCAACCCAAATGTCCATCAATTGTTGAATATATAAACAAAATGAGTATCCATAAACTGGAATATTATTTGACGATAAAAAGGAATGATGTACTGATACATGTTAAATGACATACTGATACATGAATCTTCAGAACATTATGCCACATGGAAGAAGCCAGTCACCAAAAAAACAAACATTTTGTATGATTCCATTCATTTGAAATGTCCAAAGTGACTAAATCTATAAATACAGAAAACAGATTAGTAGTTGTTTAAGGCCAGGTGAGGGGAAAGGGAATGGAGTTCTGGGGTGTGATAATACAAGGGATGGCGGGGTTCTTTCTGAGAAGAAAACGTTCAAAATTTGATTACGGTGTTGGTTGCACAGCTCTATGAATATACTAAACTCATTTAATTGCAAACTTTAAATGAATTAGTTATGTGATACGTGAATGTCAATAAAACTGCTACAAAAATAACAATAATCCAACAAGTTTAGAAACTTAATCCAAAAGAGAAAGTAAAGAGATACAGCTTGCTAAGAATGCAAAGAAAGCCAGAATAGAGAAATTTAGAGTCTTACAGTACAGGTACCACACAAGAGTGGGACACAGAAAGAAAATATTAGAACTTCAATTTCTATTTGATTTTTACATAAAAATAATAAAAAGGAAATTAAGTTTTACTAAAATGTATAATATGGTCGACCAGTGCCTTTACTCAAAGGATCACATGGCTTGTGAGGTTGAAGAGGCATCCTGAAAAAGAACAAGAGTTCCACAAGGAGGCAGGCTGACCATTTATTCATTTTTTTTTCCTTCTCAGCATATTGCAATATTTGACCGGTTAGGTGAATTTATAGATTATACTATTTAGATTTAACAAAATACATCCCTCCTAAAATGAGTAAGTGGCTGCAAAAGAATCCTGCAAATAAAACATTGCATGAAGCTAATAATTGCATTTTGTGCACAAATGAACAACAGGAAAATGGCAGAGCTTACCTATTATGATCTCTTCTGTGGATAATACAGATAAATATTAACAATATTTATATTTATATTTGTTGCATGAATGAATAATATGAAAATTATGAAAAACAAGAAGAACACTAAGGAAATTCAGTAAGCAATTCTTCACTTTGAGTACATGTACCTATATTGTTACACCATCCTCCCCCAAACAGAGTGAGTATAGATAGAAATGTTGATCTTTATTATTAAAATCACATGAAATGGAAACACATTAGGAATTTACACATGGATATGTTTTATGTAAAAGACTAAACTACAGGCTGGGCATGGTGGCTCATGCCTGTAATCCCATCACTTTGGGAAGCCAAGACGGGTGGATCACCTGAGGTCAGGAGTTCAAGACCAGCCTGGCCAACATGGCGAAACCCTGTCTCTACCAAAAACAGAAAAAATAGCCAGGCGTGGTAGCGGCACCTGTAATCCCAGCTACTCGGGAGACTGGAGAGGCAGGAGAATGGCTTGAACCTGGGAGGCAGAGGTTGCAGTGAGCAGAGATCGTGCCACTGTACTCCAGCCTGGGCAACAGAGCAAGACTCTGTCTCAAAAAAAAAAAAAAAAAGGAACAACAACAAAAAAAACTACAAGGGATCAGGTTATTTTCATGTAGCAAATTTCTCATTAATCTTATTGGAAGCATGCCTTTAACACTGTGTTTTAATTCATTCAAATATACAAGGGCAACAGTGCTACACAAGAACCTCTAGAGTATATTAAAACATTCAAAGACATTGGGAAGTAGACCAAAGCTGTGCTGGACTCTATAAGAAATTATGTTTCTTTCTAATAACTAAAGACACCCTGTTTGCTGGTTTAAGGATCAAAGAACATTTTCAAGTTGTAGTAAAATATATTATCATCAATTGACACATGGTGGTAACAAACCAAGTAGGAAGAGCTTAAGGACTTGATGTGAAAGAAAAAAGTTAACATAAAAAAGGCTAAAAACAGCAAAAGTAGAGGCCGGGCGCGATGGCTCATGCCTGTAATCCCAAAACTTTGAGAGACGGGGGTGGGCGGATCACCTGAGGTCGGGAGCCCGAGACCAGCCTGACCAACATAGAGAAACCCTGTCTCTACTAAAAATACAAAAGTAGCCGGTGTGCTGGTGCATGCCTGTAATCCCAGCTACTCGGGAGGCTGAGGCAGTTGAATCACTCGAATCCGGGAGGCGGAGGTTGCGGTGAGCCAAGATAGCGCCATTGCACTCCAGCCTGTGCAACAAGAGCGAAACTCCGTCTCAAAAAAAAAACAAAAACAAAAACAAAAACAAACACAGCAAAGGCAGAGTCGGAAAAGTTCTCGGCTAAAGTAGCAGGTGAGAAACTTCATTTTATGAGACTTCAGCCCCGTTAGTCAGAACAAAGTATTTCTACAAAGTACCTGTAACTGAAAAGATCCTCCCCGAGACATCACTAAACGATTACTCTGTAGCTAGGGACTGCCATCAAATTAATTCCCTAAGTGACAGTTCAGAGATTCTCGTGGTTTTTTTGTTTGTTTGTTTTTTGTTTTTTAAAGAGGATGCAGAGACCAAGAGGGTTTTTGTGTTTGTTTTCAATGAATATTTAGAAAGAAGGCTTTTAAAAAAGCAGTATCAACTGGCATGTAAGACAAAGAGAGTTCAGTGTGGATTTGGGCATTTCTGCTGAAGCCCAGTAGAAAGGGCGCGCTAATTACAGCAAGAAAAGGAAAACAAGAATCAGCATGGATGAAGCAAAAAACATACAACCCATGGTAGTATGTGCGATGTGATCTTTTTTGCAAGCCCAGCCACGTGTCCTTATAGAATCCCAAGGGTTCTACCTGCTCCCCGGGACCAAAAGCAGCGCCCCAAGGGAGCAGCCAAATGCTGTGGACCCAAACCAACCCACGAGATCCCAAAGCCCGGCGTCTCCTCTCCCCAACCTGGGATGTTCTGCCACCTGGACCCGACGCATAGCAGGGCTCTCTGCAGCCATATTTCGCTAGATCCTTCTTTCTTCTGTAGTTCCAAATGGTTAAGCAAAGCTCCCAGAGCAATCACGAGACTTCTGTGACAGGAGCCGTTTTCTTCCGGGAGATAACCAGCTCCCGCCCTGCGGAAATCCTGCAGCTTCGCTGAGGTGGCTGCTTCCAATCGCCCCGCCTCTGGCTCCTCCTCCCTGGACTCAGCCAGGGTTCCCTCCAAGCAGCAGTCGGGTACAGCCTCTGTTCCGCTCTTAGCTCCCAGGGAGGGACTAGGACCTCGCAGGAGCCCCTACGCCGAGGACGTGCGAAGCTGCCTAGTGAGGTTTTCTTTTTGCGCCGTGTGGATGTCTGAGAACAGTGTCATAACCTGGCGCCTTGCATACACCTAGTTTCTGATCTGTCTTGGGCTGTGTGTTTTTTTGTTTTGTTTTGTTTTTAAGTTATGTTTTGGTCTTTATTTTGGTCTTTATTGTCAGCAGCTACTCCCCAAACAACACTAAA